ATAAGACTCAACCCCCCAGGTCCCAGTTTTGTGAGTCCCAGTTCCTTTCTCAGTGAAAATATGTAAAAATCTAAAAATCAAATCCCATAAAAACTAGCATCTGACCCAGCACTCAAAGGGACAAATCTAGAACAAGGATGGGACAAAGAGGTCACTTGTTACTGCAGTTTCCATTCTGAGTAGCCAAGAATTATATTCCTTCATATCTAATTCTGATTAAATAAATAGAGAACTCGCACCTGTAATCATCATTACCATCAGAGACCTACTTCCCAGAGCCTGATTAAAACATTTTCTTTAAGCTACAGGTAAACTCAAGATTCCCCCCACACACACACCCTTGTTATAGCCCATAGTACCTGTTACACAGAGTAGAAATGCTCACCCTTGTGCTCATGACAACAGCTGGGAAGACTATTTGAATAAACTTTTATAAATGCACATAAAACGTCTCAGACTGTCTGAAACAAATGATTTTAGAGAGACAAGGTGGGTGAGGTAATATCTTTTACTGGACTAACTTCTATTGGTGAGAGAGACAAGCTTTCAAACCTACACAGAGCAAAACCTGAAGAAGAGCTCTGTGTAAGCTCGGAAGCTTGTCTCTCTCACCTACCTTGTCTCTCTCATATCTGGGGACCACAGCTATAACAACATTGCATACAACGAACGATTTTGTCCTTTACAAATAGCTGCTTTTTTAAGAGACTGAAAATGGCTCTGAGCCACACCTGACTCTTTCCAAGTTTTTTTATTTTTATTTTTTTGTTAGACAATAGAAATATTTGTCTGGTTTATCTTCAATTCAGTCTCATGCTCTGTCACTCAAGGCTCTTCCATGTGTTGCAAACTTACATCAGGTTTATTGTCATGGGGCAAACTATTTCCTTGCACTCTAGAACACAATTCTTCAGCAAAACATTTCAACCACAACTTCCGCAGGATTTATCACCTTAAATTCCTATCACTAGACTGTGTGTGTTAACTGTTCTATTTGCACCTACACTAAATTTAAATTCCTAGTACGTTTGTACAGCGCCAAGCGCATTATAAGTGCTCAACAAATCTACTTCGCAAGTCTACATTCATTAAGACAGCTGATTTGAAAAAGAATCTAAGTAGCAGGTTAAATTTTAGAAACAGAAAGAGGTAAAGATATTTTATGGGAACAGAGTGGCAGGAAAAGTAAAAAAAATTATTCAGTAAGTCAACAGTACATAAAAATAGTTTAATAAAACCATATCATCTCTCCTCACTATTACAGCCCCGGCTTAAATGCTGTCTCCAAGGCTAAGAATTTAGAATGAAAGACCAAGCAAGCAATATCTCTGCTACAGCAAAACAATCAGAAGAACTAGTGCACAAATGAAGGCAATGGGAAGAAGTAAACTATACAAGTGAAGAAAGCTGTTGGACAACAAACATTAAGATAGAATGTACTACTGAAAATAGCATGGAGAGAAAAACATGATTTTTATTGCTTCTACTCTCTTCCTTATGTCAACTCGCTGTGAGAGTGATCAATGCCAAATGGTACCAATGCTAAAAGGTTTCCATAAGAGAAAGTTTACAGGACCAGGTCCAGTAACAGTTCATAGGCAGGTAAGACATGGCCATGCCTTTTTTCCCTTGGAAATTAGTATGCTACCTAACTAAGAGCGTCAAGCATCTGACTACAGAATTTTTTTTTTTTCGGGTGTAATTAGGAAAGAACATTAAAGTTTTACCAAGTGATCGCATGATTGATTAAAGATCTGTGAATCAAATGACAGTCACATGTAAGTACCTGTATCATTGCGAAGTATGATTTCTTATTCATCTCAAATTAACCACCTCTTAAAACAAGTCTCCAGATCTCTCCTTTTACTATACTAGACACAGCACTGCCTATGTGAAATGACACATTTCGCACCTTCTTAAGTTCACTTTTGTGATTTTTTAACAAAAAAGACATGCTATCAAATACATTACCCAGTAAATATTTTTATCCAGCAAATCTTTTTTGCCCCGTCATATGTAGTAGTTACCCAGAGGGATGAAAATAAGGATATTCTCTCACTTCAAATAACTTTCTATCTTCTGCTCAAAATATCTCTTGGAAGAAAAGTAAGTACTCTGTAGGCTTTAAAGGGGACCAAAAGGGAAGCAAAAAAGACGTACCCTTCTTTTTGATTCTTTACAATGTAAACAAAGGCTTAAAACGGGTTTATTTTTCTGACAGAAACAAAACCTGCTTTTTGTTTATCTCAAACAAGATGCCAAAAAGAGTTTTAAAACTGCAATGACAAAATGGAGAATAACTGGTGAGACAACAGTATTGCCAGAAAGGACCTAGGAGGTTATAGTGATCAATAATTGAATTTGAGTCAACAGTATGACGCTGCAGTTGAGAGCCTGAGGCCCACTGCCCAGGGCTGGGCCTGAGAGCCTGAGGCCCGGCATCTGGTGTCATTGCTCATCCCCCGAAACATTCCTCTGTATCCTTCTGGGGGGGGGAGCGGTACACCCCACCTTTTTGGCTGCCTCACTGAGAACTGTGTCATGTTGGTCTTGTTGAGCTTGAGCTCAGTCCCCTTTGGTTAATCAGTCTGATCTCTTTGCCATTTATTCTGCTTACTCATCTTATACCTTTATTTCCTTTACCAAAATAAACAAATTAATAAACTCCAACCTTTACTTTATTTGCTTGCAATCTTTATTTGTTTGCAACCTTTTGAATCTCTGAGTCTCTGGCTTATAAATGCTGGCAGAGCGATTTTTTGCTAGCAAACAGGGTACCGATCCTGCCAATTATGCCACTGTGATGTTTTTCGGAGCACCCAGGGCTAACAATCACCTTGTTACCACCTGCCTCCAGCATCAGGTAGTGCTGCATATATTTAGGGCCCTTCCAAATTCATGGCCGTGAAAACCATGTCATGGACCGTGAAATCTAATCTCCCCTACGAAATCTGGCACTCAGCCAGGGGCTCCTGCCCTGTGCAGAGATCCAGCTGTTAATCCTCTGGGGATGGGAAGGGAGGAGAGTTCTTCTTCCCCTGCAGGGGCTGTTCCTGGAGAGGGTTAGACCCACCTCTGGGATCTCCTCCAGTTGCAGAAAGCTCGGATGGCTTCAGCTGTCGCCTCCCCCCGGCGCACAAGACTGCGGCTGGAATTATAACCCTTCCACATGGGGAGACTGCAGCCCCAGCTGTCAGCCCCCACTGGGAGAGGAGACTGCAAGGAAAACCAGACCAATGGTAATCCACCCACCATGCCCTACGGTCCTCACTTCTGTGCGGCTGTTGGAGGTGATGCTGGCTTTACAGCGGGGCACGCAGACAGCAGCCTTCCTCTCTGGCTGCCCAGCTCTGAAGGCGGCACCCCTGCCAGCAGAAAAGCAGAGGGTGGCAATCCCATGCCCTCTCCCCACCCCAATAGTCTTGTGACCACCACCCCCCAAACCCTGGCCGCTTTTTGGGTTGGGACCCCCACGGTTACAATACCGTGAAAATTCAGATATAAACATCTGAAAACATTAAATTGATTGATTTTAAAGCTCCCTGGCCGTGAAATTCACCAAAATGGACCATGAATTTGTTAGGCCCCGACACATATTGCATGGGTGTTAACTCCCTAACAAAATCAGCCTATCAGCTACTCAAGCACTCTCCCTCTTAAATCACAGGGAATATGTGCATAAGCCAGTCTACAAGGCAAAGACAAGGCTTGTAACAGATGCACCCCAACCTCCTTGTCCTTTCGAAGTGGCCCCTGTGGAATCCAGCCCCAATCACTGGATGCACCCAGAAATCCCAGATCCTCTGTTCCCAAAGCGTATCTCAGTTTACCAATTTTATCTTAGACCACTGCTCCTGTACGACACACAGCACTTGACCTCCATTATAAAATGAAAAGGAAATTTATGTAAAGAAGAAAGATTTCACATAAAAAAATCAGTGTGACAGATGGGAACAGTTACATGTATATCATCATAACACGCATCCAAATTTAACTAACAAGTTATCCTCCTGTCTAAAGAAGCTAATCTTGCCCAAAGTTTATGAATATTATATATGTGTGTATGGGCGTGTGCACGCTCACCAGTATTTTTCCGTTTACACTGCAGTCATAAAAAATGTATAAAAAAAATCCAGTGTGTGGAGACAATTTATTGAAATACACAATGAAATAGAAAGCCTGTCTCCTCTCAAAATAATATGCATATTTTGAGCAGGGAGACAGAAAAAATCACTTTGAAAATGTACAAAGGCATCCTTAAAATATATAGCTAGTAACACAGAAATACGGTTATTCATACTTACTTCAAAAAGATAAATGTTTTATGAAAAATATGACATGTTCCATTTAAAAACTTGCTTTGTCTTGATGAGGGGAAAACCGAAAACTTTCAATTCCATGCTGTTGGGAGATTATCTTTTAAGAACACTCAGGCTTCTTTAGATATTATATGCAAAGTACAGAACGTTAAAAGTCAAAGGTTGTCCATGCAGTGGTCAATAATAAAAAAGCACAAAGGGCATTCATTTCCATGAAATGCCTATGTACTAACGAGCCTAGGTAGATGCTAAGATTTTAGTAGAAAATGTTTGAGAATGTGGAAAGCCTCCCTTGAAATCTTATTGATCAATAACAGAAGTCAACATCAGAACAAACGCCCACACACACACACACACACACAAATACTGAAATCAATAGTTACAGGTGACAAAGGCTAACGTAATTGTAAATATAGTGGATACAAACAGAGATATGTCTACATCTCTATAGCACATTCTCTCAGCTCCTTGAAAAGTGTACCTCCCCCATGCACTCAATCTAGGAACAAGAACTATGTTAATAATTTGTAAGAATTAAGGATTCTTATGGCTGGGACAGATTGAGTGTGCATACTGAACGCTAATCACACATTCATTAGCATTAGGAAACAATCAGTTATTTCCATCTCTTCTTGGAAGCCAAGAATCACATTTTGCAAATATGTTCTCTTTCAGACTTACCATTTGATTTTATTTCTCGTACATAGTTACTAGGAAACCATCCTGTTTTGCCATTGTGAGTCCCTTCCCACCAGCCTCCTTCTTCCACTCTCGTAACATGAATAATGTCTCCTTTTGCAAAAGAAAGTTCATCTTCATTGGTCTGTTGAAAACTGAATTTTGCTCTCACCACCAGCTGGTGATTGCTGTTATCGGTCATGTCCTAAAAAGTGAAATCGCAAATGAAGGACAGAACTTTAGATGCATACGGGTTACTTCATGACCAATATACAAGTCTCTTCATTAAACAGAAATATATTTAAATTAAAACACCATTTTTATCAGAAGCTGTACAACAAGACCTGCAGACCCCAATATGCATCTATCTTGACGTTGTATTTCTGTGATTTGTGTCTTTCAATCTAGGTAGTACTTTATTCCACTCAGACTTCTTAGAATCAGGCAAGGCCAACAAAAGTAAAATGAAAAAGATCTGTGTTTTTCAAAGATCAGATTCAAGATCTCTATGAACAGAACAAATTGAAAATGTCTTTGGCTACTACCTAGGGTTACCATATTTCAAGTTCCCAGAGGACACTGCCGGGGGGAGGAGAAGGGGAAGCTGGGGGGGGGGTTACAGTTGGAGGGGCATGTGTGTGTACTGGGAAGGGGTATTTTGGGGTGCCGGAGGGTTGTGTGTACTGGGATGGGAGAGGGTATTTGGGAGTGTTGCTGGAGGCATTATTTGGGAGGGGTGCTGGAGGGGGTGCCTACAGCCTCACACTCTAGGTGAGGGGCAGTGTTGCGCTCCGTCACAGTGGCAGGACAGCTGGTGCAGGCCCAGGACACAGCACCAGCCTGTCAGTCAGCGCCTCCCTGAGGGGTGTTGGGCCTAGCTCTGGCACCCCTCCCTGCTAGGCTCTGAGGCCCAGCAGTAGGACAGGCAGCCCAGCCAAGAGGCTCTTGGCAGCTCCACTTACCCAGCAGGCCAGGGCGGGCAGGATCCAGTAGCTGCAGATGAAGGGGAGGGACCAATCAGAGCGTGATGGAGACGCAGGGCTGTAACCAGGCCAGGGCAAGTGGGGCCCAGGGCACGAAGCCACATGAGTGGAATAATGACAGGGACCCAAGGGCAGGGAGCTCAAGTATGCTTGCTTGCCCCAGGAGCTAAAGAGCCTAGCTATGGCGCTCTGGAGATGGGTCTTTCTGATCGGCAACAAGCAAGGGAAAAATCCCAGACATTTCCTCACATTTCAAGAATCCGCCCAGATGGAGATCGGAGGACCAAAAAAGAGGTCATGTCTGGGAAAACCCAGATGTGTGGTAACCCTACAACTACCAAGAAACATAACTGCTTTACTGGAAACATGTTCTTTCCAAAACAGAGACTGGAGGGGGAGGACGGGAAAACAGATGGACCTGAACCAAAATCTTAAAGTTAGATCTATGTCAGAGTTTGCCACTCAAACTTATTTCGGTAATACATCGTATTAGGATGCAATGGAGTGTTTGGATTGAAGAGTTTAAATTCTAGTTAAATTGGGGAAAATCATGACAACCCTGCTGTGGAAAAAACCCACAAAGTTTTATTGTAAGTTACACAATTACTATGTGATACATTTATTTGCACAGCCATTCTTCAAACAGAAGAATGATGGTTGCAGAAGTATTTTTGAACATCCACAATGTGTTTTCAGTTTGTGTTAGGTGTTACTTCTTCCTCATTGATATTAAATAGTCCTTGGCTCAGAAGTTTAGGTTGACGACACTCACGAAATTCTCTTTTTTTCATTATTTGAGCAAATGGTAGTCACATCCTTGTCATATTTTTCCTCTGCTTTCTGGGATGGTGTTTTCAGCAAAAGCCTGGACACATTAGTTAGTGGATTTATTTTGAGATCCAGAATCAACGGTAGTAAGCAGTAACAATATTTGCCTGTATGGATGCTTATAGCCATTATCAGGTCATATTTTGTATTCAACCAACCATCTTGTATTAGTATCAGTGCTGATTCTTTTTTCCCCTCTATATCCTCACTTGCAGCATCTATTAGTAAACCTGCAACTTTAAATCTAACTGGAGGAGTAAACGCAGGGTGAAGTGTTTCAATAATTTCTTTGTTTGATTTGTGCCACATGCAAGGCGGTTCCCAGGGGAGTAGTGGGGGGTGAAGGGAACCTAACTTGTTTCAAGACTGAGCTTGATAAGTTCATGGAGGGCATAATATAATGAGGCTGCCTATAATGCGCATATGGTCCCTCCACAACTGCTATTAGCAAGTATCTCCAATGGCCAGAGACGGGACACTATATGGGGAGGGCTCTGAGGTACAACAGAAAATTCTTTCCCAGATGTTTGGCTGATGGGTCTCACCTACATGCTCAGGGTCTAATGATTGCCATATTTGGGGTCAGGAAAGAATTCTTCCCCAGGTCAGACTGGCAAAGACCTGTGGGGGGGGGGGGGGGGGGGGGGTTTGCCTTCTTCTACAGTGTGGGGCATGGGCCATTTGCTGGTTTGAACTAGTGTAAAAGATGGGTGCTCTGTAACTTGAAGTCTTTAAATCAAGATTTCAGGTCTTCAGTAACTTAACCATAAGTTATGGGCCTATTAGAGGAGTGGGTGGGTGAAATTCTGTAGCATGGAGATGTGCAGAAGGTCACACTTCTAGCCTTGAAGTCTATGAGTCTAAGTTATTAGTTTCAATGGGTGCAACCTTCTTGTCGAAGTGTTTGCCTTTCAGTTGTTTTTGGTATAATTACAGAACAATTTTTTGCTATTGTTCTGATGTCAAAGACTAACAGAGACTGCTCCTGAATGAAATTTGTTTAGAGGCTCTGGAAGGCCTGGAACTGGGATGGGACTTAAATTATCATTGTAACTATGTTTTAATAATGACAATGGCATAAAAATTCACCATGAGTGTCAGTAAACTGTTCCAATGGCTAATTACTCTCACCATTAAAAACGTATGCCTTAATTCCAGCCTGAATTTCTCTAGATTCAACTTCCAGCCACTGGATCATGTTACACTGTTCTCTGCTATATTGAAGAGCCCATTATTAAATATTTGTTCCCGATATAGGTAATGACAGACTCATCAAGTCATCTCTTAACCTTCTCTTTGATAAGCTAAACAGAGTGAGGTCCCTGAGTCTAACACGTTTTCTTATCCTTTAATCATTCTCACAGTTCTTCTCTGAACCATCTCCAATTTATCAATATCCTTCTTCAATTGTGGACATCAGAACTGGGCACAGTATTCCAGCAGCAGTCGCACCAGCGCCAAACAAAGATATAAAATAAGCTGTCAGTTCCTACTCAAGATTATCCTGTTTATGCATCCCATGATTGTATTAACTCTTTTGACCACAGCTCATGTTCACCTGATTATCCACTATAACCCCCAGATCTTTTTCAGAGTCACTGCTTCCCAGGATAGACTTTCCCTTTTGTAAGTATGGCCTACATTGTTTGTTTCTAGGTGTATACCAAGGATCGGCAACCTTTGGCACACAGCCCGCCAGGGTAAGCCCCGTGGTGGGCATGGCTGGTTTGTTTACCTGCCGCGTCCGCAGGTTCGACAGATCGCAGCTCCCACTGGCCGTGGTTCACACCATTCCAGGCCAATGGGGGCTGCAGGAAGTGGTGCAGGCCAAGGGATGTGCTGGCTGCCACTTCCCACAGCCCCCATTGGCCTGGAGCGGCAAACCACGGCCAGTGGGAGCTACAATCCGTCGAACCTGCAGACATGGCAGGTAAACAAGCCGGCCCGGCCCTCCAGGGGGCTTACCCTGGCGGGCCGCGGGCCAAAGGTAGCCAATCCCTGGTGTATAAATTTATATTTGGCCACATTAACACGCATATTGTTTGTTTAAACCCAGCTTACAAAGCAATCTGGATCTCTCTGTATCAGTAACGTACTCTTCATTATTTACGACTCCCCCAATGTGTGTGTCATCGGCAAGTTTTATCAGTGATGATTTTACATTTTCTTCCCGGTAATGGATAAAAATGTTAAATAGCACAGGGCCAAGAACTGCTCCCTCCAGGACCCCACTAGAAACATACCTGCTCAAATACGATTCCTCATTTACAACTGCATTTTGAGACCCATCAGTTAGCCATCTTTTAGCCCACTTAATGTGGGCCATGTTAATTTTATATCTTTCTAGGTTTATTTTTTTTTTAAATCAGTGTCATACACTACCAAGCAAAATGCCTTACCAACATCTAAGTGTTCTAGATCAGCACTATTACCTTTATCAATCATGTCACCGTAGCAAAAAACCGGTATCAAATTAGTTTGACAGGATCTATTTTCCATAAACTCATGTTGATTGGATTTAACAATATTACACTTCTTTAATTCTTTATTAATCAACTCCCTTGTCAGTCACTCCATTGTCTCGCCTGGGATCTATGTCAGACTGACAGGTTTATAATCACTTAGGTCATCCTGTTTACTCTTTTTAAATATTGGAACATTATCTCTCTTCCAGTCTTCTAGAACTTCCCTGGTGTTCCAAGCCTTATTGAAAAAAACTCAACATTACTGGTCCAGCAAGATCCTCAGACAGCTTTTCTAAAACTCTACAAGTTATATGAACCTGATAATTTAGAAAGGCCTAACTTTTAGTAGCTGCTGTTTAACGTCCTCATCAAATACTAGTGGAATGGAAAGAATGTTGTCGTATGACTACATCATCTGTTTTTTCTCCAAATACAGGACAAATATTTATTGAACATTGCTGCTTTTTCTACATTATTATTGATAATTCCATCATTTACATCTACTAATGGAACAATATCACTATTAGTATTTTTTTTTTGTTCCTCATATACTAAAAAACTCGTCATTTTCCTTAACTCTGCTGGCTAAAGATTTCTGCTTGTGTCCCTTATATATTTTCTCCAATTTATAGCTTCTGATTTATATTCATGACTATCAAATTCCCAATTCTTCCATTTTTGAGTGCAGCCTTCACTTCCCCTCTAAACCAATTCTTTTTTTAAAAAAACAACATGGCCTTCTTTTTCAGTTGTGGGATTGTGGCTTTTGGGACATCTAGTAACATATTCTTAAACAATCCCAATTATCCTTCACATTTTTCTGATTAAATTTGCTGATTTGGCTCGTAATTATTTTCAGTTTTGTGAAGTTAGTCCTTTTAAAGTATGAGGTATATAACACTGGTGTGGACTTCATTCTGTTTGCACATTATAAATGTAATAAAATTCTGGATCCTCTGTAACTGTCAAGATGAGATCTAATACAGAACTCCCCCATGCTGGATGCAACACTTTCTGAGTTAGGAAACTATCGTCTATAATATTTAGAAGTTCCTAGGCTGTTTTAGTACTGGAAGCATGAGACCACCAGCATGTGTGATTCAAACTGAAGTCCCCCATGATCATGCAGATTTTTTTCCCTATACACTGTAGATAGGGTGACTGGCTCCATATGCACCTATTACCTTGTGTGATCTGGTGCCTGTAGCAGACACCAATACCCCATCTTGTGCTTTATCTGTTAGGACATTCATCCATAAGCATTCAAGATCAAACAGGCAATGCCGTTTTTGACATAGAGGGCCACTCACACTTACCCTCCGTTTTGCCTACTCAATCCTTCCTAAATAGATTATAACCCTTGATTTTCACATTCCAACCCTGGGAATCATCCCACCACTTTTCAGTAATACAAACAAGATTAAATGTATGCCCAGTGTAAACAATTAGTTTTATTATTATTCTTAAAGTTTCATTCAATGGCCCATTTCGTCTTAGACTACTAACGTGGAAAAGCAAAATGCTGGATCTGGAGCTCCTCCAAGTGAGAATTTTTTAATGCCACTGTCATTATCAAAATGTAGTCCCATACCAGTTCCAGGCTTTCCAAAACCTTTTAAACATCAATTTTATTCAATCTTCAACATCTCAGAGATCACTCTGTGATTACACCACACATACACAACTGCGGGACACAACGCTCATTTCTATTCCCCTGGAAGGACCCCGAGATATCAGACTTTAAAATCAGGACACATTTCTGAACAGAAAAGCAATGTTGCACAGAAATGTTTTACATATATTAGTTAAAATATTTTCTCTCTCTGAAACCCTCTGTGGCCGGATTCATAATAAAGAAGGCATCTGGCTTTGCAAGCTGAAGAATAGTGGCAATTATTTATTTATTTTTTTAAAACTCTAGCACAGGGGTTCTCAAGCTGCAGGTCATGACCCCTCAGGGGGTCGTAAGATGGTCGCAAGTGGTCAGCTCCATGGGGCTGAAGACCCCGAGCCCCCATTTAATTAAATTACCCACCCCCTTTTTAATTTATAATTCACACGCTCAGAGGCTTGCTGTGTGAAAGGGGTCACCAATACAAAATGTTTGAAAACCACTGCTCTAGCGCATTTCCAAAGTACTTTCTCTAACTTATGTGGTACATATAGAATACATCAGGCTGTATTGTAGTACAAACGGTTTATCTACCCTCATTTTGGATGACCTGCGTAATTAATCAGAGTTTACCCCACACACATGTGCTCATGCAGATACAGCCTTTAAATCACACCACACATGTATACTATTTAATCATGTATGTGAGTGAGTAGGAGAGGGAGGAAGAGAGAGAGAGAGGGGGAAAAAACAAGCCCAAGGACTCCATCTAGCAATGCAGGCTACTTCTGTTAATCCACCCTGTTAGTAGTAGTTACAGCTCCATATAAAGCAGCTGAGTAAATTCTACTAACTCATTCCAGCGGGTACTGCTTGTTAACTTCACCAGAGAGGTTAGTGTGACTTTCTGATTAGAGGGATCTAGAGCCTGAGACTGAGAGGTCTCTGGAGGGAAACCTAGAAACAGCCATAATCGGGATGAGGGCTTAAACAGATTTATGTTGTGTTAATGTTTCACATACCAGTCAGTATACAGCTCTTCAAACATGAACTAAAAGAGGAGGTCTGGGCTCTCCCTTCAAACTTTTTCACTGCTGAAAGGGATCTCTTTCTTGGAGCTCCATAATGTTTAGAGACAGGTGAGAGTCACGGATCTCTTGGTACCAACTGGCAAGTGGACACAGAGGATGCACAGGCCTGTATAGGGATCCCCTGTGTTGGATGAATTCGTAATAGTTCACCGAAAGGTGGCATGTGAGATCTCAGAGCCAGTAGCACACTGGTTGGCATAATCATGCAAAACATAGGTACAGATAATATTTAAGGAGTTAAGTATCTACAGTGAAAAGAAAAGATTCTTAAAGACTTGATCTGGCTTAACTCCACCAGAAGGTGACATACCTCGGGAATGTTTCTTTCAGGAAGAAGATAACAGACAACTCTCTCACTGTCTGGTCATTTGTGTATCGTATGCCTTACGGAGTATGCCCGTTTACATACTGAGCAATAGGGCTAAGTAACAGATTGCAAAATTTACAATAGAGGAAGTCTACAGGATGGAACAAAGAGCAGGAGCATGTCCTACTTTAAAATAAAGACAATAGATTGTTTGGGTATATCTTGGAGTGCCAAGCGCCACACTGGATCCTTCACCTATGAGGCAAGCTGACAGCATGTCTGGCTCATGAAAGGAGGATAACACTCAGAAGGCTTGAGGGGTGGAGTGTGCCTATCACTAACCTGTAGAGACAGGGAGGCCTGGGAGGCCTAGGAGAGAGTGCTTGGGGCCGCCAGCAGGCACAGACAAGGCTTCCTCATGTGAAGGGCAGGTGATCGTGAGATGCCTCACAACTCCAGGTTCCCCCTGGAAGCGTCAGAACAGGAAGGTACATTTTGGTATAGGACTTCTCTGCTCGACAATCTGATTTTAGAAAACCAGTGGCGAGGGCAGCCCACACAGCCCAGTGTGTTTTGTGGCATGCCTCCACATTTGTTCTCTCTAAATCTGAAAGTGAGTCCAATGGCCAAGCCAGCCAACAACTACCACTACCTTCTTTGCAGAACAGGCTGTATATTCCTAGACAGGCCAAGTCAGTTTTCATATCATGCCCTCAGTAATTAGAAGTCTTACAACTAGAACATCACTGGGTTGGGATGTCCTGCAACAGATGTTCCCAACAGTGGAGTCTTGAGAAAAAGCTTGAAAAAAAAATTGAACAATCTGGTCTCACATGTCCTCACCTGCAAGAGGGTACATTTTTGACTATACACTGACTATAGTGTATTCAAAACACGGTGGGAAGTCAACTGCTCAGAGGGTGTGACATATACACGTACACTCACATAGAATCACAGTGATCCTATAGCTATTGCTGAGGAATCAGTCATTACAAGTATACAAAGATAGAACCTCTCAGGCCACCATACTTTGGGGGTAAGAAGGAACTAGGAACTGTTTGAGGACCGTGCTGTAGGTAGCAGTCTCTTGCCCTTTGTCTATCCAGTAAAGCTAAAAGTCTGTTTAACTATGAGATTCTCAATTTGGTGGAGATTCCCATATTAGTTGCTGCAACACTAAGCTGTGTATACCTGACACTTCAACAATGTGGTTCTATGTATGTTGGAACCATGTGGTTGTGTGTGTGTGTGGCTTCAGAAAACTGGGACTCAGTGTACAAGGCTGCCAAAACTGCTAAGTGGCTGGGAGATCTTCCAAACCTCTGGGACTGAGTGAGCAAAGCTTTAGAGGAGGCTCCCTGCCCTTGGAAACCCTGGAGCGTTGGGATGGCACAGTCCCATTGGAGGAGATGGACAATTTGCCCTTTTGAGAGGAACTTCTTTATTGAAAAAAAGAAATCAAAGAAAATAATATTTACGCATGCATACAACAAGAAGTTCTTAGTGTTACAACAGAAATACTTCTGGCTGCAAGCATGCAGAAGACTGACTTTCTAACTCAGAAGAGAATGAAAAAAAAGCCACTGCAACACAGCATAACTTCAGAGGCCCCAGTTATATGTAGGCAAGAGCAAGAGAGCACTCAAGGACTTGTGAAATTGGGTTCACACATCTTGGCTTGCAACACTGTTTTAATCCAGATTGATAAGGAGAAAAAAAAATCCTTGAACATGATTAAATTCCAGCAGAACTTACCAAACTTCGATACTGTCCCTGAAAGAGTTTTGAAGTTCTACTGTGCAAAGACTGGGATCCAAGGGAATCAAAAGATTTTATCCGATGAGATGAGGGCCGTGCACATACGGAATCACTTCCTAGCCCAATGTCTGTAGAGATGACAGCAAAATACTAGAATTGCAGAAATTACATACACTTTTTACACACCAAGATCAAGCTTGGGTACCTAAAGCAGATCCATGGAATTTGTGGGTGCTCAATACCTCTGAACACAAGAAATAAGATCAAATATACCTAAATGTGGATTTAGGTGGCCAGCCTTAAGCACCCAAATTTGAAAATCTTGGCCTAAAAAGAAAAAAAAGAAAAAGAAAAAAAAAAAGCCAGAGGAACTCCAAACAACCATAAAAGGTTTTGGAAAAAAATTCATACCAGCCCTTTTCTGTTATGAAAACACATTCTGAAGTTAAAATATTTATTCAAACAAAACAAGGTAAATTAGAATGTCAGTTAAAAACTATGCTTAATACCTACACCGATTACATGATTTCAGGTGATCTGAGCCATAATTCAATCTTCAGCCAACGCCCGTTACTTGCAAGGGACTAATTTAATCTAATCTGCGACAGTGGCAGTTTCCTTCATACACATTCTTATGGAGGTCAGGAAGGGTGGGGAATGGATTCCAAAATTTTAGGAGAAGAGAAAGGACAGAGTATTTCTCATTTTCTACCAGCTACCCGTCCAATTAAAGAGTCTAACAACGTTGGCTATTTCAGTTGACAGTCAAAAGAAACTCAAATAGCTTAAATATAGGCAAAAATAATGTAACTATATCTGTTTCTTCGCCCTCTTCCTCCTATCCACTCATTCTCTCTTTGATATCTGGACTTTGCTCATTTAGTTTTTCATCCACACCCTTTATTTCTGCCCATCCATCATTTAATTAAAAAAATAACTCTTTCCACTGCCCCTTTTTTCTACATTTGTCTCCTTTTTCTCTCCGCCAAGGCTGAGGTTGTTGCTAGGGGCGGAGGGTTGCTGTTTTTGGTTTTCTGTTTTTTTAAACCTCTTCATTTGCTTCCCTTCCCAATAGGCCACACAGCTGAGACCTTCTATCCAAAGGAGGAGTGCTGCCCTCAGCTTTCTTTAGAGCTTCTCAGTGCTGCTCCTTCATCAGACAGCAACACAAAGTCACTTCTTATCTCAGCTTTGTTTGGGCAGTACTCCTGGCTCTAGTGATCCCAAACAGCAAGGCAATACATTTCATCCCAGCTCTGATGCTGTACTAATAGGCTACCAGGCAACTCTTCCGCTTTCTTTCTGCCTCTCTACCATTGCCCCTGTTTGGAGCATGCCTTATGGACATTCGGTTGGTAGGTGGAGAAACAACTGTTCTCCTGCACATGGCACTTTCTCAGCAGCAAACTGAAACAGACTAACAGCTTGCAATCAGAGTCTATTCCTGTTGCACTTCCCTAGCAGTGCCATGTACAGAAACAAAAGGAAATGTAACATACCTACCATTCCATGTCAAATTAAATCTGAGGGTAAAACAGCTCATTTGGTGTGGCAGAAATGTAATGACGTGTGTATGTATGGAAAGAATGAATGGAACAGCAGGGAAGCAGAGTGCTGTCGAATTCATAGGATGCTCTAGTTCCTTCAGGAAGTTCTCCTAATACTCTTATCTTGTACCAACAACTCATTTTTATCTTTCAGAAAGATTATAAATATACTATGTTACAAATGCATCGTGTTTAACTGGTGCATTATTAGAGCTATTTTTCTCTCTTCTTACTAAAACATACATTTTATTCAGATTGACATCAACATACTAGAACTTGAAATCAGTGGAGCACTTATATTCCAAACAACTTCCTATGCTAAATTTATTTTTTTTTAAATCACTGTGTTACTATAAGAGCTTAAAATAGGTTTGGGGTTTTCTTCCATTTGTATTAAGCCTAAGCTCTAAATTTTTTTTAGGATACACTGGGAGCATGAGGGACCAGACAACATTGCACAAGACAGAACATTTCACTTATGGATCACAAGTTTACTACCAAGGTAGTTGTCTTCGTTACTTTAGTACTCCTTATAGTCAACTGTAAAATTCCAGATATGAGGACTGTCCGAAAGCAAGCAATTTTAGAGAAAGGATAACAGTGACCTGAAATGTCTTTGTGATGCATATATCATCATGAAAAAAAACATATTTGCAATTTGCAAATAAAGAGAAGCAGCGGAACGGACATGTCACCAAATCCAGTGGTAAACCTGGAGGCAGGTCATCTCTGTGTTTCCAGATGGGAAATCCCTATCTCCCCACTTCCTGCTTCGATCAAATTTGGGTTTAATTTGTTCATGGTTTGTTTCTGTTTTTTTTTAAATTCCCGAACCCCCCTTTTCTTTTGTGAAACTGAAAATTTTTTGATTTTCAAAAATGGACAAGAAACAATTATTTTCAGCCACTGCAAAAAAAAAAAAACAGGAGGCTCATCCACCCCTTCCCCCCCAATTTTGAGTTAGTGGAAACATTAAATCCTGCAAAAGTGCACCGTAGTAAAGTCATTTTTCCACTAAAACCTTTTGAAAACGTTTCTGCTAAACTTGCGTAAATACAGAGATTTGATGGCCTGCTGTAATTTGCATATTTAATGAATATGCATTGCCTCATTTGCATAGAATCTCACCACCTTATACCTACCACTTCTCTGGCTCCCCGCTTTCAACTTTCCCTTCCTCCCTGATTCTCCTCTATCTCCTTGGAGTTTCTCCTATCTTCCTGCAATGTAGTCTGTGATCATAGGACACTGCCTGGAGTGTGATAATCCCCACCCCATGTGTGGTTATAGAAATACTGTTGGAGTGAGTCTTTGCATAGTAGCATTCTATCTCACTGACTAGTACTCGAGCCATATCCCTGTGCCTGTGGGTAGGCTAGGAACTGTGCTCTTGGAAAGGTCTGTATGGTTAGAGTCTTTGATGGAGGCAGTGCGGCCTAATGGCTAGAGCACTAGACTAGGACTCAGGAGACATGGGTTCTATTCTCACCTCTGCCACTGGCCTGCAGGGTGAACATGGGTGAGCCACGTCATCTCCCTGTGCCTCAGTTGCTCCATCTGTAAAATGGGGCTGATACTGACCTCCTCTGAGGTCTACTGAAAACTGTTATATAATAGCTACATATTAATTATTATTAAGAACTCATTGGAGATTGCAACAGCAGTCCACCAGGACTAACCATTGATATACTGCCTAGAGTGCCTCCCACATACTCTCCCCATCAAAATAGGAAAAGCAACTGTTTGGAAGAGGAGCCAGCCTCGGATATTTAACAGCTCTGGACACTTCTACGAGTAAAAGGACAGTTCAGCTTGCATGAACATCCAGTCTTTGTTCTCTCTTTTGAAAGATGAGCAACAACTTATTTCACGCACAGACCACCACAGTCACTGGATGGTAGCAACTTTAAAGGAATACTGAAATGGTCTGCATTCACACTAGTGACTTAGACTGAAGGTCAGCTGGTGACTTCACTGGAGCTATGCCGGTTTACACCAGCTGAATATCTGGTCCTAAATGTTCTTACTAATCTACTAAACCAGTGCAAAAAAAATATTTTAATTTAAAAAAAAAACAAAAAAAAACCACAATTTTGCACATACAACAGATGAGTGTGGTATATTGAGGGCTGTGTTGAAACTGCAATCTATTACTTTCAGAGTGGGGGAGAGGGCGTTTCCTAGTCCTGCTTGCAAGCTCAGGAGCTCTACAGGGAAGCGTGTGACCTCTGACTCAGTCTGCTGGCAGACAGAAAGCTTATATAGTCAAGTGGTATGGATTGTGCCTCTCTGTATTAGGGAGCAGACTGTTTTGTGTGTCTGTTTTAGGGTTCTTGTGTTAACACTCTGATTTCTAAGAAATAAAGTAGTGGTATGTTGCTACTTTCTAGCAAGAGTATTTACATTTTTACCTAGCTTCTGTGTGTTTATGCCATGAACATAACAATGAGCACAATCAAAATGAGAAATTGCATTTGAAGAGTTACTATCGTAGTAAGGAAAACTCATTTACAACTGACTTCTCTTTACATCCATTTATAAAAAACTTTTCTCCTCTTAAAAGTTTGGAGTGTTTAAATAACGGCCTTCATCCTTAAAGCTCATCTTCTCTTCCTCATTTTGATACCTAATATGATGACGTAATGATTACTTTGTAACATTTTCATGACAGAACAGTGTCCTGTCATAAATACAGGATTATGGACTCCATGTAGGTTCAGAAAGAAACTTAATAAGGAAGGAGAAAGTCTTTACTGGCCATCAGTCCAATCCTGCAAACCTTACTCACGTATCATTTACTTCAATTAAATTAGTTGCACAAGTAAAATTGACCCGTGTGTGAAGACTGCAGAACTGGACCCAATGTAGATGCTAGAAAACATACAAAGAAACACACACACCGATCAGGTACTTTAAAAAAAAAAAAATTAAAAACCTCCACATGTACTTCACTGTGAAACCTCCTCTAAAAACAAACTAGACAATACTGACAAATCCTTACGAGCTCCTTTAAAACAATGCAAGACTAATACATGGGAAGATGAAGAAAATATAAAGAGAAAGCATCTCTGAAAAATGACCATTGGCAGCAATTTTAGAAACGTCAATTATATTAACTTATCTGAGCTGCTTAAGGATGACATCATAGATCACCTTCCCCACAGTATGCATCAAAGTAGAACAGATTTTACTTACCTGCAGTTACTTTATTTAGAGCAACTAGGGAGCTGAGAACCTTGCTGAAGTTCTGTCCCTGATACAGATCATTTGCGTCAAAAGTCTGAAAAGGAACAGGAAAATAACATTAGGACACCAGTCACTGAGAAAATAATACTAAAAGCTAGGTAAGTCTGCAGTTACCAGTAAGGAGAAAAACAAGCAATCACAAGTAGAAACATTTCTTACCAATGTTTTTTGTACTATGGTTTTTTTTAAAAGCTACAAGGTAAGAATTACCGTGCATGTTTTTGTTTTATTTTAAACTAGAGATGGTACAGATAGTTCTATTTGGACACAGTGAAATATGGAAATGTGAGTTTAAGATATCCGAGGGTAAATTATAATGATGTAGAATTGGTCCAGCTTTGGCAATTACAGTTTGCCTACCTAGATTTTCTCTATAGTTTTCAAGCAGAAAAAGTTATTCTTCCCATCGTATCTGATGGGGGATTATGAGGATTGAACACACGCACCGATCGTCAGAGCCCTGGGTGCATGGGACCCCAGTAACGAGCGAGTGTTGCGGGAATGCAGAATCAGCGCTACGCTCAGCTGATGCGGCAACTTGTGGTATTGAACACCATCAGGTGGCTGAGGGACATCTATCTAGAACACATCACTGGACATCGGCAATACCAGGCAAGATGAGCTGGAGTGCCACTGAGAAGCAGTTGGGAAAGTAACTGGAATGCTCTGATGGATTATAACTCCTGAGGGACAACCTATCCTAAATGTTCAGTTACTGAGGGACAATCTACACTCATTGCTATATGTTTTCTACAACCAACTCTCAGTATTAAACTTTTCTTGAGTGATGTACCAGAATATTTGGATGCTAACATCTAAACTGCATCGTTAAATTTATTAATCTAAATTTGAGTTATTCCTGATTACGTACTATATGTATTGTATGACTTTTAAACCAACTTTGTACTTTTGGATAATTTAAGTGCTATACCCAGATGTACAGACACTCCTTCCTTAACCTGTGTATTAAATAATTCTAACCTTAGCTTCAGTGAAATTTTTAAATCTGTTCTTACTGTACTGTTAAATGGCTGCTGTGTTTTACCTGAGATATGGATACATATACATATATACACATACATATGCACACATATATATATACACACACACACACACACACACAAGTAGTTCATAAAGCACTTTGAGAAAAGACTGTATTGCATAAAGTACTGTACTATTGTGCATTATATCCATAAAGCGCTGAAAGAGCCTCTGGTGCACTACAAGACACAGAAGACGAGCCCCCAGACAACGCAGCAATGAAGTTTTCTGTTCTGAATAGTCAAACCACTGGAACTTAACAGCAGCTAAAGCACATTCAGAAAAAAAGAATTTTTTAAACACAAACAACTGCTGAAGAGGAATCTAAATTCACAAAAATCCGTAATTAAATATAATTATTCGGTAGACAAAACACACTTGAAACTTTGCAGAACTAGGCGAGGACATGAAACATTTGGATTTGCAGACAAAAATGACCCTGAACATTTGCTTGAAACGAATCCCAAACTTCATAAAAAAAGATATTGCACATGACCCTATTCACATTGCAAGGCGTTACAGAATTCTCACGTGCAAGTTCACAAAGAGGACAACAATGCCAGCCCTCTTATAGTTGCTCTGTCTGGTATAAGACAGAGAGAAAATCTTAGTCTCCTGCAGCACAGCAGCTTTCATCTACAAAGTCAACAAACTCCTGTTTCTCTTGCTGAAAAAAGACCCACCCCACAGGCATGTCGGAAAGAGTCTGTCCCTCTGAAGAGAGAATTCCGATAGAAGGGAAATGAAAAGATCATATTGTTTCGGGGCAGGGAGAGCGAAGGAGAGAGGAATTAAGAAATGAGAAGACATGCAAGTCAGGCAGAGTGAAACTTATCTCAAACAACTATTTATGGGACTGACAAAGTAGGTTTTCAGCTCAGGGGTTTTCAAACTTCATTGCACTGACCCCCTTCTGACAGCAAAAATTACTACATGACCCGGGCGGGGGGGGAACCGAAGCTTGAGCCCACACAAGCCCTGCCACCCCAAGCAGGTGGAGGGCCAAAGCCCAAGCCCCACTGCCATGGGCGAAGCCAAAGCCCGAGGGCTTCATCCTCAGGCAGGGGGCCTGTAAACTGAGCCCTGCTGCCCAGGGCTGAAGCCCTTGCGCTTCGGCCCCAGGCTGTGGGGCTTGGGTTTGGCCCCGGGTCCCAGCAAGTCTAGCACCAGCCTTGGTGATCCCATTAAAATGGGATCGCGACCTACAGTTTGAGAACCGCTGGTTTAGCTGATTTTCTAATAAAGGTGGAACAAATTTCAGAGGTTGTTAGCCAGGCAGTGTCCTAATAAAGAAAGTCTTTTCTAAAGGAAAAGGAGTACTTGTGGCACCTTAGAGACTAACCAATTTATCTGAGCATAAGTTTTCGTGAGCTACAGCTCACTTCATCGGATGCTAGCTCATGAAAGCGTATGCTCAAATAAATTGGTTAGTCTCTAAGGTGCCACAAGTCCTCCTTTTCTTTTGCGAATACAGACTAACAGGGCTGCTACTCTGAAACTTTTCTAAAGGATTCACTCTATTTAAGATGTTCGTAACTGCACTCTTGCTTAGATTACCAAAAAATAAAAAAAAAGGTTGCCAAAACCATAGCTTGTCCTTGACTCTACGTACAGCCAAACAGCGTTCAGCTCCAGTTTAGCTGCACTGGTTGCTGACACCAGTTGTTAGCAATGGTAATTTTCATAGTATAGTACAGTAGTTCTCAACCAAAGGTACACAGAGGTCTTCCAGGGGTACAGCAACTCATCTAGATATTTGCCTAGATATCAGTTTCACAACAGGCTACATAGAAAGCACTAGCAAAGTCAGTGCAAACTAAAATTTCATACAGACGGTGACTTATTTATACTGCTCTATATACTATACACTGAAATGTAAGTACAATATTTATATTCCAACTGATTTATTTGATAATTATATGGTAAAAATGAGAATTAAGCAATTTGTCAGTAATAGTGTGGCTGTGACACTTTTGTATTTTTATGTCTGATTTTGTAAGCAAGTCGTATTTAAGTGAGGTGAAACTTGGGGTACTCAAGACATATCAGACTCCTGAAAGAGGTACAGTAGTCTGGAAAGACTGAGAGCCACTGGTGCAAAGAATAGAATCATAGAATATCAGGGTTGGAAGGGACCTCAGGAGGTCATCTAGTCCAATCCCCTGCTCAAAGCAGGACCAATCCCCAACTAAATCTTCCCAGCCAGGGCTTTGTCAAGCCTGACCTTAAAAACCTCTAAGGAAGGAGATTCCACCACTTCCCTAGGTAACGCATTCCAGTGCTTCACCACCCTCCTAGTGAAAAAGTTTTTCCTAACATCCAGCCTAAACCTCCCCTACTGCAACTTGGGACCATTACTCCTTGCTACCACTGAGAACAGTCTAGATTCATCCTCTTTGGAACCCCCTTTCAGGTAGTTGAAAGCAGCTAACAAATCCCCCCTCATTCTTCTCTTCTGCAGACTAAATAATCCCAGTTCTCTCAGCCTCTCCTCATAAATCATATGCTCCTCCTTGAAGACCCTCACATCCCATCTTGTAGTCAAGGCTCAAGAGCTCTGCATGCCTACAGAATCAAGTTGATAGTCAGCGGCTAAGTACTAAAATCCTCCAAGGAAGTACAACTTGTATAAAATATCCCAGAGAACCTCTCTTTAAATATCACCATACCAGAGACAATTCTAGGACATCTAGGCGTATTTAAAGTTAGAAGAAATAATAAGGGGCTCTCAAGTATCCCCCCAGCTGCGAGTCTGTGATGCCAACTATGAAACATGAGAGAAAGTATTAAAAAAACAATATCTACATATATAATATACAATGTAAGTGAATGAAACACTGCCAACCTCTATAAGAAGCGAACAGAGAATTTGTTGATTTTGCCCTTTTGGCAAAGTTGCATTTTAAGTTAAAGAGAAAGAAAAAAGGACACCAGGATGACACAGTATTAGGAGGACGGCATAGGTTGTATATATTCTGCTGGAAATCAACTTGCTGATGTGTTTTGGGTTTTTTTTTTAATTTGGCATCCAATTTGGAAAAATAAAAAGTGCCAAAAGAGTTACAAAGATTCAGGCTTCCTGCAGGTATCTGTTTACTGTGGTAGCTTTTAAGTGGACATAAATTACAAAGTGTAATAGAAGTATGAAACTACAGTGTGCTAATCCTATAAGAGGATCCACAAGAGCAGAGACTGACTCCCACACGGAGTCCTATTGACTTCAATGTGAATATAATTTGTGCTTTCAGAACTCTTATTGGACTGGGGACTCTAACAATAAGTAGACATCAGAAATGCTTCATAACCTGGTACCACAAGGAATGACTGCTTTATTAAGGACAGAAATTAAATTAAAAGGATGGGAGGGTATTGCTTACAAATAGTGACTCAATTTCAATTTTCCTAAACTTTTTTTTTGTAAAGTAAAAAGTAAGTCTTTTGCTTATAAAGATGAGCCCGGGTCCATTATACACCGAGGAACAAGAATTCTCTGTTTCTGTCCTTCCATGTAAAACAGACTTAGGCTAGCAGCATTTATGCCTCAGAAAGACAGCAGATCAAATATAAAGAATTAACTTCTCTTTTTTAAAAATACAGTTTAAAAATGTGGACAACAAATTTATGCAAGTCTAAAATAAAAAGCATAAAGTATATTTAAGCTCACCTTCATTGTGGATTCTTCTACAGCAAAAAGCTCCGCACCAAAACTAGTTTAACTCAAGAATAACAGGAAGTAAAAAAGCCTTAAGTTTCCTGTTATGCTGAGACTTATATGGGATACCGGGAACAATTTAATGGGTTATCCCAGCATGCATAATGTCGTCTAGAAACTGTAACTAGGAAGCAAATCTTGTCTGTATGACTTCACAGGAAGACAGACAGACAATGAGAGGATGGAGGAAGGTTTTGCTTGTGAGTAATATATAGTTTTACTAGAAGGGAAGCAGCCCTTATAAAGGCTGTCTAGCCATGACAAAACACAGTTCCTAACCT